AGAGAGAGAGAGAGAGAGAGAGAGAGAGAGAGAGAGAGAGAGAGAAAGGGAGAGAGAGAAAAAAAGGCCCCACAAAAATTTTGATTTGAAATGACCAAAAAACCCTTCCATTAAGCATGTGCATCGCGCGTGCGCCGGAAAATGAGAAGATTCGCCGGAATATTCCTCGTAGGTGGTTATGTGCGTAAAAAAGGTGAGTTTGGGTGTACCCTTGCAATTTTTTTTAGTTAAGGTGGTAAAGTGCAAAAACGGGCAAAGTCTAGGTGGCGAAATGCTATTAACCCTTACGAATAAATAAAGATCATTACATCTCTTAGAAAAATATATTCTTAAGAATAAGACGTCCAAGATTATTACAAACATATATATGACCGTGAAAAACCCGTCTCGTACACAGTAGAATAAACTCTACGTACGAACCCTAATGTAAGTACACTCCATATATGGATTCAACAAAACGAAAAGTCGAATAATTTCTATAAGGGACAAAAAAGGAAAAAAAAATGACCCGATTTATAACAAGAGCATTAGCATTCATATGAACTAGTCTGTCCCGTTGCTATATTTTGTTTTCCTATCATTAGCTTCATTTTTTTTTTTACCCTAAGACCCAATTTGAGGTGTTAGAAAGATTCAGAAATATTAGAATGTTTCTAACACCTCAAATTCAATCTTTGATGATAGGAAAACAAAAGGTAGCAACAAAACAAAACCAAATAATATTCATATGAATGTAGATCCGCATTAAGAACCATTAACCAATCTCATATGTATTTCCATAGCCGGAGGCTCCAGAATTCCGTCTTCATTTTTACCATTTTGACACATACCAACGAGGGAGATCAGTGTTGATTATGAGGTGGATGATCTGATTCGTCTTTGTGGAATTCGGCCCGGCATTTTGGACTCGCTTGGTAGCTTCTATGGGGGCGTCCGTTGCAGTAAGGTATTTTAAATTTTATCGTCATTTCTTCCTTCAAGCTCTGCTTTGTTTTGTTGGTGAAAAATTAAGCACTAGACGACAGAAGGAAGGAGCAGCGGCAGCTACCTTCTTTACCACACTGGAACATGAGAATGAACGCAGATTCACTAATAATTTCATAGCGGCCATGTTTCGAGGGGGTGGTGAAACAATTGATTTGAAGCCTTGAATGCGCATATAGAATGCCGAAAAACATCTATAAAAACACGAAACACCTTTTTTATACTCCCTTAAAAAGTAACTGATTGAGCTTTCGAGAAAAAATCATCAGATCATTTCTTGAAGTATTATCAACCTTTTCCACCCCTCCAACACCACCAATGCTCCACTAATGAAACAGTTCTGGAATTCACCGGTTGGTCAACAACAACAAAAAACACGAGCGTGGTCAGTTCATAAACTTTGTACATAATGAATTATTTCTTTTTTTTTTTGTTAAAAAATATAAAGAAACAATTGATGCAATAAAAAAGAAAGGTAACTTTAATTTGTGAGATATTTGGTGAAAGAAAATTGATTTTACCGTTATGTCGCTGACAAGAATATTGTTCGATATGCTTCTCCTTCATCTATTTGCCAAAAAACCAGAAAAGAAAAGAGAGGTTGTAAACTTCGTCCATAAATCCGAAAATCGAACATCTTAATTAAATCCATATATATCAACTGTATGGAATAAATAAATTCAATCCAATGAACTTTCGCATGCAACAAACTAATTGAGAAATATATCTTCATACCAGATCCAATATAAATACTGTTAAACAGATCTTATTATATATGATATATATCATTAATAGGTTTAAAAATTTCAGATCTGTATCAACGGGCCAAAATCAGTAAAAAATATTAAAAGAAAAAAAGGTAAGAAAAATAAAAAATAGATTAGTTATTAAGATCTTATTTCATCACCACAAATACAACATGAAGAACAAAAAAAAAACATTTTAAATCCATATATATCAACTATATATCAAGAACAGAAATAAATTAAATCAAGAAAAAAAAGATGGAAAAGAGAAACCATATATATATATATATATATATATATATATATATATATATATATATATATATATATATACATAAACATATGATCGGAAGAGAAGAGCAGACCTCGGCGGTGGAGGTTCAGGAGGCGGCCTTAGGCGGTGGTGGAGATCTTCAGGTGAAAATCTGTAAACCGACACTGACACGTACATAATTTTTCTGTCGGAAATTCAGACACAGAAAATAAAACGGCGCAGAGAAAAACCTAGGAATTTCAGACACATAAGAGATTTAATCGGTCCTTTTTATAGAGGTAATTGAGTGACGTTAAAACCTAGGAAAAAGAAAGTGCAGATAATTTTAGGGCACCTGAACACAAGCCCACTGGGCTTTAGATTTTCTGTGTCACTGTTCTAAAAATGTTTATTAAAATAAATATAGTATTTTCCTTTTGTATGAGAATTTTTATGAATTATCCATATTATTCAAATATAATTTATACTTTATAATTGATTTTTTTTTAGAATCCAAATGTAAAAGTAATTGAAAGTTTAGAAAATATAGAGGAAGGAACAGAAAGAAGGAAATGCTACATCGAGAGAAGACAATTATACGAGATCTATCAATTAAATTTACAGAGCGGTCACCAATACATCGATAAATGATATACATACATTGAGGTTTTCTTATCGTTTAGCACATTCTTTTTTAATTTGTTACTATATATATAACATACTTTGGTTCGCGTCAATGTTTTTTTTTTCCGCTCAAGAATCATAATAAATGCATGCAATAAATACCCATAATATACGCCGTAGAGTCATCATCTTAGCTTGATAAGTAATGACACGACAACTTAGATCGAGTACGTCAGCTTAGCAACAAACTAATATTAATTATTGATATGGGATAAGCGAATTTAGCGCTAATATTCTAAATCCTATAAAATAGTTTGGACATGTAGGAGTTAGAATTAGGGGTGAAGATTATAAAGAAGTTTTCGAATTCCACAGGTTACGGTTTTAAAATTTCCAATCTCGCAATGATTTGTTTAGGGTTAATGACAGTTTGCACCCCAAACTATCGTGTATATTTTGCACGTTACCCCCTCAACATTTTTTTTAACAAACTTTTACCAAAACTAGTTAAATTATTGCACAGTGCCTCAAAGTTGCCATTTTCGTTCATTTCTCATTGGAATCGTCTGCACGTGCGTCACATGTGAGTACTTTTTTCAGGGTACTAACATCCATTAGCTTATGTGAAAGTTAGGGTTCTCCTTTCCGGAGGTGAAATATTGTTCTATTGTCTCCGAAGGCGAAGGTGATTATACAAAGTAAGATTGTTAAGTTTTCACCGGGTTAGTGAATTTTGAGCTTCGTCTGCTTATTTTATGGTTTGCCTCCAAGATTTTTTAGCTTAGATATTTGGGTCTATGAATTTTGAGCTAAGATTTCTTGGCTTATTGTTTTCGAACCTCTGGATAACCGTAATAGCTTGCTAATTGAAGATGAATTGAATATTCTGATCTCAATTGTGTGAGCACAAATTTAGGAGAAAGATACCTAATGTTTGCTTCATAAATTGTGTTTGTGCTTGTGGACCGCTAGAAACGAGAAGGGTAATAGGGGTTTGGGTGGGAATGATGAAATGGCAAATATACGTACCCTTCAAGAAGACTGAAAATGTCAATTTTGGCAAAAAAAAAAAAAAAAGAAAACCACCGAAAATTGGCTTTTGAGGCAAAGTGCAATGAAAACAATATTTCTCAAGGGTGTTTTCTCCTTTTTGAAATTTTAGGGGGGATCGAAGTGCGAAAACAGAAAATTTCTAGGGGGTGAGGTGCATTTTATCCTTTTTTGGATTACAAAAAACTCACATTGTGTATGCATAAATGGCCACATGCATCTCTTTCCATGCACCTTCTCGTCAATAAAACCCGTCGCCGATATCTAAAGCAATAAGGAATTCACAGAGAAAATGAGAAGAAGGTGATTTTATCTATAAAAAAAAACAGAGGACTAAACCTTTTGAATTCTATATAAGTCAAATTTTATGCATCTTGGGGATTGGTGGCTGGATAAAGTAAACACAGCATGATTTCTAAAAATTGCAATTTGGCCCTAAACCTTTTGAAAATTGCATATATATATGTTTGTATATTATTTAAAATTCATGAATAATTTTACTGATATTATAAGTGTACTTTTAGAAAATTTTGACGTTTTCAGAATATTTTAGAAATCAAAATCGGAAGGGAAATCAAAATTTCTGATTATTTAATACATATTTCTGATTATGATCCATTTTGTATTTCAAAAAATAGGAAATCATAATAAAAAAAAATTATTACTAGATTGAAATTTTTTGGATCGTAAACGGTGGAATTCGAAAAGTTTGTTATAATCTCCACCCCTAATTCCGGCTCGTCCATGCTCGACGAACTATTTTGTAGGATTTATACTGGGGCTAATTTCATATATCCCCGTTCCATCCAGTAAAACTAATTTCTTCGTGAACGTAACTATTGCATGCATTTATTATGATTCTTGAGTAAAAAAAAACCTTGTCGCAAGCCGAAATCAATATCTAGTAACAATAAAGAACGTTTCCTAAACGACAAGTAAACCCTAGGTACATACGTTGATTTTCCCTCCAAGTTTGCCGTGCGGATTTTCTCGTTGCCCGTGTATATCCGTCCGTGAAATCGCAATTAAACAATTAATTGACCTACCTAATAGTGATCGGCCTGTAAATTTAGTTGATCGATCGATCTCGCGCTATCCCGAAGTAGAATTTCATTTCCTTCTATTACCTCCCTCTATTTTCATTTTTCTATTCACGGAACTCAGTTGTTCATAAATTGAAATATCAACTTATGATTTTACTGGATATACCAACAATTATATTAGGTACTAATTGAATAATATATAATATAAAAAATGAGAAAATAAAGAAGTGAGGCATGCACCGACACACAAACAACCTGAAAGCCCACTGGGCTTTCTCATCAATTTGGCGGCGCTCACTTAAATTTTTTTCTAGGGTTTTGACGTCACTTTTTCTCTATTTAAAGGGCCGATAGAAAATCTTTCTATTCCAACTCATTGCGCAACTGCTCTGTCCGAAATTCAGACAGCAGCAAAACATAGCTATGTCCGAAATTCTATCCTTAATCGAATTTCTCCACCGTCTGAGGCCGCCGCCTGAACCTCCGCCGCCGAGGTCTGCCCTCCTCTTCAGATATCTTGTTTATGTGCAGAAAAACGGATTCAGTTTATTTATTCCAGAAAATTGATATATGGATTTAATTAAGATGTTTTTTTTGTTATGCATGTTCGATTTGTGGATTTCTGTTCTTGGCCACATTTGTTCAGATTTCAGACAATTTATTGATTCATAAAAGATTCTGATATATATATATATATATATATATATATATATATATATATATATATATATATATATAGTTAAGATGTATTGGATCGGATCTGTAGGAAAAATGTATTGAATAATTAACTGTTCTTTTTTTTTAAACATAATTTGGTCCATTTATGCAGATCTAATAACATGTTTGGAATATACATACACGACTGAAAGCAGATTAAATCTGGTTTTTCTTTTTTTTAAAATTTACAGCCGCAAACAACTTGTAACTTTGCTCCTTAATTACATTGTTTATAAATTCACTTTTTTTACAACTCTGTATAAAGATATCTTGGAAGAAGTTTACGAACATTTTTTTCTTTTTATTTGGTTTTGATATACAGATGGAGCACAAGCACATCGAACAATATTCTCGTCAGCGGTATAAGGGTAAAACCAATTCTTTGACGTTAACTTTTTTTTTATTGCATCAATAGATTCATTTATATTTTTATATATATAAAAAAATGTTTCATTATTAATAAAGTTTATGATCTCACTCTCATGTTTTTTTTTGTTGTTGTTGAATTTCAGATCTCTTAGAATGTGAAGATTTCATGTATAAGTCAATTTGTGTCAGATGAAAAGGTTTTGGAAAGTTTTTATTTCCAAAGCTTTTGATGACCTTGTTGGCCGATTTCCTCACAATCATTCTAATGATCCGCTCTTGTTTCCAATATGGATTGATGGGTGTTTTCAAATAGTCGACAAGAATAGCCTTGAACGTGTTCACGGCCTTAAGTCGATACATTCCAAAATCCATTGAAACTCCTTCAGGTTGATACATGCTGCCTGGATGATGACTTATATATATATATATATTAAATATGGTTGGCCAAAGTTGTTGATGAAGTACGAAATCAACAAACAAGATGCAACATTGTACTGTGTGAAGATTCGCCTTTAGATGGCGTTCGTGCCGCATTTGTCATCTCCCGTTTGAAGATTCACCTTTAGATGACATTCCTACTGCTTTACTCACCACCCTGTGAAGATTCGCCTTTAGATGACATTCACCCTTTACTCATTATTCTCTAGAAGCTTAAAAAAGACATCGCCTCGTGTTTGTTAAAGAATATTCGAGCAGTCTAATGGTAAAAAAAAAACTCAAGTACTGTGTTTTTTGTATAGAAAGTATGAAAATCGCCCTTAAAGTCACCATTGGGACAAAATGTAGCAACGGAACAAAGCTTAATCATATGAATGTAGCTTTTGTAATATATAAATTATCCTCTCATAAAATTCAATTCATTTTTATCAAACTTTATATTTAAAGATATATTTTTGTTGCTCAGCTCTGATGTTTGAAGTATGAACTGTGTATTGATGACTGGACACTCCTAACAATGGTGATATGTTTTTAGTTCTCTCTCGTACTTTTTTGTATTGATTTTGTGAGTGTTTTGTTACTTTTACATGAACATGGGGGGCTATTCCACAGATTCTTGAAAATACCCCCTGTCGAATTTCTTTTCATGAATAATGTTATTAAAAAAAAAAAAAAAATCTTGATCTATTTTTCTTATTCACGAAACACCCCCAATTATAAGAAATTTACTAACTACGGGGGGCTAAATGTAATTTCTAAAAAAAGAAACTTTTTGTAATTACACTTTGGCATAGGGTGGTGGTTGTAATTTATAATACTTAAAAAGAGCTTCAATAGCTATTCCCGGACTTCGAAAAAAAAAACGACTTATTATAATAATAGTTTCTCTCTCTCTCTCTCTCTCTCTCTCTCTCTCTCTAATTTCTTTTCTTGTTTCGTATGAGATGATGGGGAAATGGGATGAAGTTGGGATATTTGTGGCGGTGCACCGGCGGAGCAGAGGTGGTGGTGGTGTGATTTGATTTGTCTGATAATATAATATTACTAATACTGCTTTAGCAATTATGTAAATATATATGTATATTTTTTTTTGAGAAATATATATATGTATATTTATTTACACACAAAGCCCACAAAACATAAGGTTCTTCTTTTCTCCCAAAATCAATTGAATCCGCGGGCAACAACCAGGTGTTCTCCATCGATTGTTCAAACGTGACAATTTCGTCCATAATTTTGTACATTCCTTTGATATTTTTTGTCCTGAATATTGGGGGATTTAGAATCGCTAAGAATTGGGGGTAGCTCTCCTCCATTGATCGTTTCGTCAATTTGGGAAGTGAATATTGTGGCTTTAGGACCCTAAGTAACTCAATAGTAAAAGCCGGATTTTAAAGCGGAAAAGTAAAATGACATGTACACCCTTAATCCGGCGAGAATTAGCTCAAAAATACACATTTTGGCAAAGTGCACCGAGTTATATATATCAAAGAGGGAGGGTCTCATTTTTTTCAATTTTGAGGGGGAAAGTGCCAAAATGACCTTTTTTAGGGGGCAAAGTGCAATTTGGCATAATTTTTTTATTAAAATATTGGAAAATTTTGGATCATAATCGGCAAAATTCAAAAAATTATTTATAATCTCCACCCCTAATTCTAAATATTACATGTCAAAGCTATTTCATAGGATTTATATATGGACAAAATGCATTCCACTCCCTATAAATTTTTATTTTCGCACTTTCCCCCCTAAAAACTAAAAAAATGGATAACCCCCTTCAAAATATTATCGAATGGCAAAAAGGCCCATCACATGGGACTTAAATGCACATTGGTCCACAAAAAAAACAGTCTCTCAATTAAACCCATCCCCATATCTTTAGTCTAAAATACCCTCCATAATATAATTCTTATCAATTCCATCCATTATGCTCTAACTTCCTTAATATTACACATTGACCCCGGATTTAAACAAATATATCACATTAACCCCCAATATATTTTTTTTTTCAGAAAATTTTTTTTTTTCTGAATTTTTTTTCAGGCCAGATTCCGGCGTTGACTTTTTTTTTTTAAACCATTTTTTTTCCTGAATTTTTTTTCCAGCCGGTCAACCACCGCTGACTTTTTTTTTGTTTTTTTTTTTTATTTTTGGAAATTTTTTTTTCTTAGAAAAAAATATTATAATTAATATTATTGTCTTGGCTACTAAATTACTGTCTTAGACAGTAATATTACTGTTTGGGACAGTATTATTATGGATATTATTTTCCCGAACAGTAATATTATTAATATTTTTGTCTAAGACAGTTAAATTACTGTTGGAGACCGTAATTTAGCAGCCAAGGCTAGTAATATTAATTAAAATAATTTTTCTTAAGAAAAAAAAATTCAAAAAAAAAAATTCAATTAACAGTTAAATTACTATTTCCGATAGTTCAATAACTGCTGGAGACAATAATTTAGCAACGAATGCAGTAATATTACGTAATTTTTTTTTAAGAATAAAAAAGTCAATTTACAGTTAAATTACTGTCTCTGACAGTTAAATAACTGCTGGAGACAGCAATTTAGCAACTAATACAGTAATATTAATTAAAATATTTAAAAAAAAAGTCAATTAACAATTAAATTACTGTATGCGACAGTTAAATAACTGATGGAGACAGTAATTTAGCAGCAAAGACAGTAATATTAATTAAAATATTTTTGAAGAAAAAAAAAAGTCAATTAACATAAATTACTGTCTCCGACAGTTAAATAACTGCCGGAGACAGTAATTTAGCAGCCAAGACAGTAATACTAATTAAAATATTTATTTTAATAAAAAACAAAATTATATATAAAAAAAAAGTCAACGCCGGAGATCCGGCGGTTAACGGCAGTTGACCGGCCGGAAAAAAATTTCAGGAAAAAAAAAAGTTTTCAAAAAAAAAAAAGTCAACGCCGAAGACCGGCGGTCCACACCGGTCAACGGCGGCGACCGGCGGTCTCCGGTGGTGACGGGTCAAAATCGGGGTCAAAATTGAAATTATAGTTAAAATTGGTTAATTGATGAAATTTGGCTAAATTGGAGTGTAAATCATGAAATTAGAGTTGAATTGGGTTTCAATGAATTGGGGGTAATTTTGGTATATATAAAAAGATTTTCCTTATTTGCAAATAAGTTTGAATGGGCTGGATTTATTTGAAAGACAAAAAAGTTGGATGTCCCTCTTTTAATTAAGTGCCCTTGTCATGGGCCTATTTGCCATTTGCCCAATATTATTTTGGTTGCATTTTGCTCCAAAAACCATTTTTTGTCGGGCATTGTGCAACAAAATAACATTGTAAAGGAGCAACGTGTAGAAAGTTACTGTTTTTAAGGGACAAGGTAATACAAAAACAACATTTAAAGGGGAAACGTACAACAAAAACACTCAATTCCAGTGAATAATCCGTCGAAATTTTGCTATCGAGACAATGTACAACAAGAATAATATTTTGAAGAGGGGCATTCACATTTCCAAATTTTGAGGGTGTAAAGTGCGAAAATTAAAAATTAATTGGGGTGACGTGCAATTTGTCCTTTATACATATATATTTGCGTTAATTTTGCTGATCTACCATGAACTAATATTAGTTTCTTGCTGAGCCGACGATTACTCATCAACCTAAAACGATAAATCTACAGCTTATATCATGTGAATTTATTGCATATAATTATTACGATTCTCGAGCAAAAAAGCCTTGTCGCGAGCGAAAATCTATATTTAGTAACAATAAATAATGTTTGCTAAACGACAAGCAAACTCTAAGCACATACATCGATATTCGCTCCGAGTTTGACGTGCAGATTTTCTCATAGCCCGTGTATATCCGTCCGTGAAATTACAATCAAACAATTAATTGACCTACCTAATGGTGACCGCTTTGTAAATTTAGTTGATTGATCGATCTCGTAGATCTCGTCTTATCCCGAAGTAGCATTTTATTTCCTTATGTTATCTCCCGCCATATTATATAAATGTTCAATTATCTGCCGATTATGTGATTGTTTCATTTTTACTGCATACCAACAACATTACTATTTGAATATTATTTAATATAAAATTATAAAATATTGGAACGTATATAAAAGAACATAAAGTACCGACACACAAACAACCTGAGCCCACTGGGCTTTCTCTTCAGCGGCGGTTAATTAATTAAGTTTCTAGGGTTTTGACGTCATATTTTCACTATATAAAGGACCGAAAAAATAATCTGTCTATATCCCAACTTACTGCGCAGCTGCTGCCTTTGTCTGAAATTCAGACAGCAGCACCAACTATGTCCGCCTGGGCTTCTTCTCGTTCCCTCATTGAATTTCTCCACCGCCAGAGGCCGCCGCCTGAACCTCCGCCGTCGAGGTCTGCCCTTCTCTTCTAATATCTGCTTTTTGTTTTCCGTCTTCTATTTCTTGATTTCCTGTTTATATGCATGCAGAAAAATGTATTGATTTTATTTATTCCACTAAGTTGACATATATATAAATGGAATTAATTAAGATGTTTGATTTAATTGTCTGTTCAGATTTCAGACAATTTATTGATTCATAAACGATTCTGGAAATTATATATATATATATATATATATATATATATATATATATATATATATATATATATATATATATATATATATATATATATATATATATATATATATATATATATATATGTGTGTGTGTGTGTGTGTGTGTGTGTGGATTTGATTAAGATGGATTAGATCTATGGAAAGAAATGTATTAAATAACTGTTCTTTTTTTTTTTTCTTTTAAAGAAAACCTAATTTGTTTCATTTATACAGATCTAATAACATGTTTGAATATATGTACACGGATTTTTGCAGTGGAAGTATGTAAATAAATATCAATGAGCACTTTCTTTAATCATTAAACGACGATTAACTTTGGTTATTTATTTATTAATTTTATTTTAATATATTGTAACTTTGCCTCTTAATTACATTGTTTATAAATTCAATATTTTTTATAACTCTGTATAAAGATATTAAAAAGAAGAAGATTACAAACTCACTTTTCTTTTTATTTGATTTTGACATACAGATGGAGGAGAAGCATATCGACCACGGCATTAAGGTAAAAATTCTCTTACAAAGTGAACTTTTTTTAATGCTCAATAGTTTCAAAATAAAAAAAGTATCATGCTTAACAAAGCTTATGAACTCACTCATGTTTTTTTTTTTTGTTGTTGAATTTCAGAACTCTTAGAATGTGAAGATTTCATATATAGGTCATTTTCCCTTTCCGTAGGGAAACTCTTCAGACCAAACCTTCCTATAACCCTGTTGGCCGATTTCCTCAGTATCATCTTGTAAACATCTCTGGTGATCCTCTCTTTTCTCCAATATGGAGTAATGAGAGTTTTTAAATATTGAAAAGAATAGTCTTGAACACCTTCATGGCCTTAACACGATTACTTGTTGAGATCTCGTCAATTCCAATATCTTCCGTATTATTTTCCAGTCCTTTCGCCTTGTCCGGACTGTATCTTCTATCACTGCATATCGAGGTTAGTCTCACGTTTCTTTAATTTTGATCGTTTGAATTCAATAATATATGATTACTTTATTCCCTCACGTTGTCTCTCTCTTTATTAGTAAACCAATTACATGTAATAATTCAATCAACAAATTAATGGCAAGTTGGAAAACCCTATGCGGTACAAGTTAATTATAATATTTGCATACATGGAAATAATACTAAATTTCTATTGAAGATATTGTAACCAGTCTATAATTAGTTTATATTTTGGTATTGATACTGACCAAATTAGAAGCAGGTGGCGGGTGGTTTTGTCCAGCGTTTTTAGTTTGAGTTCAACAGGATCGACCTTGGATGGAGGGCGCACCATAAAATCCACCGCAACTGGCTCGGACCTGGATGATGACTCTCCAAATTTTTGGAATTTGAATGATGACTCAACTATATAGAAAAATATAAAATATAAGGGGAAAAGGAAAATATAAAATATAGGGGAGACCGAGGAGAAAGATACTGAAGAACATACTCATTCAACTTATGTTTATTTCTATGTTGCTGATACAAATAATCTTCTTGGATCTTTTAGTTCTGACGTGTGAAATAAGTGGTTGCAAGCCAAGGTACCAACCAATGGCCCAGGACCTCCATTGCAAGCTCGACGACACCACTATAATTGAGGCGCATATATGTGGTCAACTTTTTTTCTTTTCTCCAAATATCGCATTTGAGGTGCCACAAACATTCTGGTACTTTTTTTTTATAAATTAAAAAGAAAGTACGAGAATGTTTATGGCACCTTTAGATTTGCTATTCGGAGAAAAAAAAAACCCAGATGATGGTAAACGAAGGCTAATCAGATTGAATATAGCTTTTGTATTATATAAATCATAATAGTTTTTTTTTTTTTCCTTTTTCTTTTTGTTCCCTTACAAGTAAAACATCATTTTATGTTCGTATGTTGTAATAATCTTGGCCGTCTTATTCTCAAGAATTTATTTTGCAAAACTATGGCAATTATCGAACCTTTGAGGGGCTGATTGATTTTGATTTGCTTCTATTTTTTTTGCTGAGATGGTCCTGTTGGTGGTTTTTGAAGGAGTAAAATGAAAAAACCCGTTGGAAAAATTAAGTGCCAAAACACCCCTTGTAATGAGTTTAAACAAGCACATTTGACCCTTTTTATTTACATCCATTGGCCGCACGTGAAAGGATGAAAAAACCCTCCAAAAAAAATATAATTTTAATCAAGGAAACCCAACTGAACAATACCCTTTAAATCATAAATTTCGAAAATTATAAATTCACCCCATAATTTTTATTTGTCCCAAAATGAAATTTTCAAAATTTTCAATTAAGTCCTTGACATTTTCAATAAAGCCTTGATCCATTTCATGTCTGCATTTAAGGCAGCGAGCTCCACCACCTCTACCCCACCTTGTTTTCCCTCTTTTCTCAATCGCCGCCTCCACAACATTTTCTTTTTTCCTCGACCGCCAAAGTATAACTTCCGACGAAATTTTCCTTTAAATACGGCAAAGTCTGGTTTCCGGAGCCGACGAGAAAAGGAGAGGGCTTTATTGAAACTAGCAGGGGCTGAATTAAATTTTTTGAAAGCTTCATTTGAGACATACAAAAATTCTGGGGTGAATATAAAACTTTTGAAAGTTCTCATTTGAAGAGTATTTATGTCTTTTCAGACCGAAAACACACCTCCTGTCGCATAAATGGCAAGTGTATTGCAACGGTGGTCGTGGGGCAAATACGCAGCGGAGATCCACTGGAAACGCAAGGAAGCGGCATAGAAGTGTGAAATGATGGAAGAAAAATGCAAACATAGTACAGCTGTTGGTAGGGTTGTATTTTAAGTGAATGGACGTTTGTACCCTCAAAAAACTCACATGTGACGCACGTGCAGATGATTCCAGTGAGACATGAACGAAAATTGCAAATTTAAGCCACAGTGCAATAATTTAACTAGTTCAAATAAAAGTTTGTAAGAAAAATTTGTTCAGAGGTAACGTGCAAAACACACGATAGTTTGGGGGGCAAAGTGACATTAACCCTAAAAAAAATCATTACAAGATTGGAAATGTTAAGATCGTAACCGATGGAAATCGAAAACTTGTTTATAATCTTCACCCCTATTCTAACTCCTACGACATGTCCAAACTATTTTATAGGATTTATATTAGCGCGAAATTCGCTTATCTCCGATCAATTAATATTAGTTAATTTCGTGCTAAGCCGACGTGGACTCGATCGAAGTTGTCGCGTCATTGCTCATCAAACTAACATGATAATTTATTATGGTAATTTATTGCATGCATTTGTTATGATTCTTGAGCACGAAAAAAGAAAAAAAACCTTGACGCGAGCCAAAATATAATTAATATATAGTAGCAATAAAGAATGTGCTAAACGACAAGAAAACCTTACGTGCAGACATAGATTCTCGCTCCGAGTTTGCCATGCAGATTTTCTTGTAGCCCCATGTATAAACGTCACTAAAATTTTAACGAAGCAAATCATATATGCATCTGACGATGACCGCTCTGTAAATTTATTTGATAGATCTCGTATAATTGTCTTCTCTCTATCATTTCCTTCTTTAACTGTTACTACCTCTAGATATTCTAAACATTCAATTAATTTTACATTTGGATTTTTTTTTAAACTTTCAATTATAAATTATAAATGAAATTTGCATAATAAGGATAATTCATAAAAAATCTCATACAAATGAAAAATACTATATTTATTTTAATAACATTTTTAGAACACAGAAAATCTAAAGCCCAGTGGGCTTGTCTTCAGGTGCCCTACTTTCCTAGGTTTTTAACTTTCAATTATAAATTATAAATTATAACTTTCCTAGGTTTTCGTAATTTAAACTTAATTCATGAATAATTGTTAATTTAATATTTAAATCTTTTTTTATGAATATTAATAATTGTGTATGAAAAGGAGGAAACGAAAGAAGTGAAAGGTGTTGAGGAGAGAAGTCAGAGAGAGTAGATGTAGAGAGAGAAACTATTTGATTTATATGCAGGATTTAGTAGATTTTAATATGGAATTTAGCACTCCCCATTTTAATAACAGTTTTAGAGCACAGAAAATGTAAAGCCCAGTGGGCTTGTGTTCAGGTGCCCTACTTTCCTAGGTTTTGACGTCACTCAACCTCTATATATATAAATGACCGAGAAAATCTCTTCTATACCCTAAAACGCCGTTTTCTGTGTCTGAAATTCCGACACAAAAATAATGGTTTACAGAGCTTCGCCTGAAGATCTCCGCCAGCGCCTAAGGCCGCCTCCTGAACCTCCGCCGCCGAGGTCTGCTCTTCACTTCCCATCATATATATATGTTTTTTTGTTCTTCGTCAATTTAATTGTTTGATTTGTGAATTTCTGTTACGCGTCAATTTAATTGTTTGACCCGATTTTTTTTCTTTTTTCTTTTAATTTTTTTCAGCCCGATTTTTTCCTGTCTTATTTTTCCTGATTAGCATGCAAAAATGGATGGATAATATTCATGTTCTCCAGATTTAACTTTTGGTTTATTGATTGATAAAGATTTTGAAACTCTTAAAACCATTAATGATATATATATATATATATATGGATTTAATTCAGATGTATCAGATCTGTACAACAATATTTATATTGGATCTGGTATAAAAAAAAAGTTCTTTTTCGTCCTCATTTCTTGATATGTTTGCTTGCATGTAAAAGTTCATTGAATTGAATTAAGATTCAGATGTATCAGATATGTACAACAATATTTATATTGGATCTGGTATAAAAAAAAAAACTAATTTCTTTTTCGTTCTCATTTCTTGATATGTTTGCTTGCATGTAAAAGTTCATTGAATTGAATTAAGATGTTCGATTTGCGGATTTCTTAAACAATTTATTGATTAATAATGATTCTGAAACTCTTAAATAATCGACGATGTGTCTCTGGTTTTGAATGAATTAATTATATTTATATATGAAATACAGATCTAATAACTGATCTGTTTTGCACCTTATTTTCATTGCTGATAAATTCACTATTTTTTTGTACAACTGAAAAATATTTTATGGGTGAATTTTACAAACTCTTATTTCTTTTTGTTTGGTTTTTGACAAACAGATGTAGAAGAGGCATATCGAACAATATTCTTGTCAGCGGGACCTAAACGGCAGTACAGTGTGGATGGTCGTGGCATGTGTGGGTGTCGATGATATCTAGCAATCATCAAATTATTGTGAGTCGAGATTTGAATTTATTATTGTCAACCATTAATCGTCATTACCTTTAGTTGTTACTGAGTCTACAAGTATTAATCATTGTAGTAAAAAATGCCAAATGAGTGCAAGATATTTTGGAAAAATATACCAACATGAATAATGTATTTGTATATCTATCTCATTTATGTGTATTTTGCCGTGATATTTTAAATGACAATCTTGTATTTGAGTTTATTGGGAATACATATAAAAAAAATGATAATAAAATCGAATTTCTTCTTTTTTTTTTGTAGACCCGGATGGTTGTTTGCCATGAACTGTGAAATTATTTGCGCGGCGGTTGCATTTCACCCAACCAATTGAGTCGCTCAACATTTTTCCCCGCCACCACCCCCGGAGTCTTATGGCAGCTTCAAACTTATTACAAAAGCTACATTCATCCTCATCTTTATCCAATGTGGTAAAGAATGTCGTTGTGATTGCTCCTGTGATCCACCGTCTGTATCGTCTAGAGCTTAATTTTGCAGCATCAGATCAAAGCTTGAGGAAATAAATTAGGATAATGTTTCGGCAACTTGCTTGGAATAAATTGTTGGTTAATGGTTTTTAACGCGGATCACATGGGCCTTTCTCGAGGATTTAAATGAGGTATATTGTTTTGCAATGTTTTATCTAATTCTTTAATCATATAGCATCTATCTAATTGATCCATGCTCAACCTCTTGTTTATTTTCTTGAACACAACGTTTTTTCCCTTTATATACACGATTTTTTGGAGTACTATAAATTAATTTTGAATTATTTTTTTTGCTTAACTAAAAATGACTTTTTCTTCTTCTTCTTCTTCTTCTTCTTCTTCTTCTTCTTGTAGACCGAGATGGTTGAGGCACTAATTGTATATGAAGATATGATATTAAGTTGGATCTTCTCGATTGGTGTATCTGGATTGGTCGTGTGGATTGCTCGTGGAGGAGAATTTGTTGGTCCTGATCTTCAGGGAAACATTTTCAAAGGGAAATAGGAAAATCGACATACATATAAATATGATTTAGCTTTTTTCTTCATTACTATTTTTTGTTTTCCTATCATCAAAGACTGAATTTCAGGTGCTAGAAACGTTCTGATATTTTAGAATGTTCCTAACACCTCAAATTCGGTCTTAGGAGAAAAGGTTGATAGGAAAACAAAATGTAGCAACAAGAAGGACTAACAACATATGAATGTAACTCCGATCCTCTTTATTATAAACCAGATCATTTTTCCTTTTTTGTCCCTTTTAGAAATATTCGACTTTTCGTTTTGTTGAAATGTTGTATGGACAAGTGTACGTACGTTCGGGTTTGCAGATTTTATTTTACTATGTACGTACAAGTTTTTCTCGTTCATTTTGTTTCTGAAAACTTAAAGAGGTTAAATTGCAATTTCCAAAACTTAATTAAAGAGAAAAAAAAAAAAAAAGAGTCAGAAAACATGAAGTAAGAAAGTGAAAATGGTAGGTAAATTAGAAAACATTAACTCAGGGACTAATTTGCAATTTTCCAGATATGCACTTAACGTAGCTGAGCCGCCGCTCTCCTTCCGGCGAAAAACCTCTCCGGCCTCCCCTGGTGCGCTGTTGAGCAAAGTTGGCGGTGGAGGAAGCTGGTTCACGGTGAAGAGGATGATGATTTTTTTTTTTCTTTTCTTTAATTAAATTTTGGAAAATTGCAATTTAACCTCTTTTTAGTTTCAGCAAGTTTTCAGATTGGAAATTTTAAGATCGTAACCGATGGAATTCGAAAACTTGTTTATATATAATCTTCACCCCTAATTCAAACTCCTACGACATGTCCAAACTATTTTATAGGATTTATATTAGCGCGAAATTCGCTTAATTATCTCCGATAAATTAATATTAGTTAATTTCTTGCTAAGCCGTGGATTGATCGAAATTGTCGCGATTGCTCATCAAGCTAAGATGATAAGGGTATATTATGAGAATTTATTGCATGCTTTTGTTATGATTCTTGAGCACGAAAAAAAAAACCTTGAAAACCTTGACGCGAGCCAAAATATAATTAATATATAATAGCAATAAAGAATGTGCTAAAACGACAAGAAACCCTTCCGTACAGACGTAGATTCTCGCTCCGAGTTAGCCATGCATATTTTCTTGTAGCCCCATGTATATCCGTCACTAAAATTTTAATGAAGCAAATCATTTATTTATCTGACGGTGACCGCTCTGTAAATTTAGTAATTGATAGATCTCGTATAATCGTCTTCTCTCGAAGTATCATTTCCTTCTCTCTGTTAATTGTACATTTGTATTTTATAATAAAAAACTTTCATTGTAAATTCTAAATTAAATTTGCATATATAAGGATAATTCATAAAAATTCTCGTATAAAAAGAAAATACTATATTAATTTTAATAAGATTTTTAGAACACAGAAAATCTAAAGCCGAGTGGGCTTGTGTTCAGGTGCCCTACTTTCCTAGGTTCTGACGTCACTCAACCTCTATAAAAAGGACCGATAAAATCTCTTCTGTGTCTGATAAAACGCCGTTTTCTGTGTCTGAAATTCCGACACAAAAATAATGATTTACAGAGCTTTGTCTGAAGATCTCTACCTCATGAAACCGCTGTCTGAACCTCCGCCGTTGAGGTCTGCTCTTCACTTCCGATCATATATATATATATATATATATGGTTTCTCTTTTCCGTTTTCTTTTTTCTTGATTGAATTATTTTCTGTTCTTGATAGCTGATATATATGGATTTAAAATGTTTTGTTTTTGTTCTTCAATTTTATTTGTGGTGATGACTGATGAATTAAGATCTTAAAGGTTCTGAAAGTATTAATTAATTACGATGATGTGTTTCAAATTTTGTGGAGATGAATTAAGATCTTAATAACTGATCTATTTTTTTTCCTTTTTTTTCTTTTATTAGTTTCACCTGATTTTGGTCTGTTGATAGAGATTTGAAATTCTTAAACCGATTAATGATATTCATCATATATGGATTTAATTAAGTTGTATTAGATATGTATAACAATATTTATATTTGGATCTGGTATTAATATGTTTTCCGTTTTCATTTCATGGTATAGTTTGCTTGCATGCAGAAGTTCATTGGATTGAATTTATTTATAATTGAGATATATGAATTTAATTAAGATGTTCGATTTGCGGATTTATGGAGGAAGTTTAATTTACGACCTCTCTTTTCTTTTCTTTTTTGGTTTTTGGCAAATAGATGGAGTAAAAGCATATCGAACAATATTCTTGTCAGCGGCATAACGGTAAAATCAATTTTCTTTTGTTAAATTTCTCACAACGTTAACTTTTTTTTTTATTGCATCAATTGTTTTATTATATGTTTTAACGAAAAAAAAAAAAAAGAATAGTTCATTATGTACAAAGTTTATGAACTAATCACTCTCGTGTTTTTTGTTATTGTTGATCAACCGGTGAATTCCAGAACTCTTTCATTAGTGGAGTCATGCATAGTGTTGGAGGTAGGGATGGCAATGGGGCGGGTATGGGGCAGGTTTTGCAATCCCCATCCCATTCCCGCCCCCATCCTCGTCCCATAAGCAAACTCGTCCCCATACCCGTACCCGGTAAAAAAAATATCAATCCCCATACCCGCCCCATTTTTTTTTGGGGCGGGTCGGGGTGGGGATCCATCGGGGCAGGTCAAATTGCCATCCCTAGTTGGAGGAGTGGAAAAGATTTGAGGTTAGTTGTGGCATATCACATCGTTTTTCCTTGCTATAACTTACCGGTTCAATTTATATTATAATTTAATTTCCATTCGGTTTATGAACTTGACTTCTCAAAGATTTGAGTTTCTTGAGAATACATAAAATTCTTAAATGACATAGATTTTTCTTCTTTTTGTAGACCGCGACAACGTGTTGCTCATTTCAACTAAGCCGAACCCCAATTGAGACTCGTTTAGTACGAATGCAACCATGAATTCAAGAAATGCTCCGATGATTTTCTCGAAAGTTCAATCAGTTACTTTCTAAGGGAGTATCAAAAAGGCGTTTCGTGTTTTTATTGATGTTTTTCGGCATTCTATATGGGCGTTCAAGGCTTCAAATCAATTGTTTCACCACCTTCTCGAATCATGGCTGCTATGAAATTATTTATGAAACTGCATTCATTCTCATGTTCTAGTGTGGTAAAGAAGGTAGCTGGCATTGCTCCGTCTATCGTCTAGTGCTTAATTTTTTAACAACAGAACAAAGCAGGGCATGAGGGAAGAAATTACGATAATATTTTCTAACTTGCTTGGAAATAATTTAAGATAGCTAAGCCCAAAGGACGCCCCCATAGAAGTGTTAAGTGTATATTTTTACACTTTATCATATCTTTTTATTTGAGCTTTTGGTGTGTTTTAACGATAATTGGTGCTTAAAAAGTTGATTTATTGTATTTTAGGTACAAAATGAAGAATTGGAAAAGTATGGGGTCAAAACTGCAATTTTGGAGAAAAAGTGGGCCAAAAGTGAAAAAATCAAAATTCTGAAGAAACAAGGCTCGGACCCCGTCCTAGTTTTAGTGCAAATTATGGGACCCCCGTCCGAGCCTCCGAAATTGCGCAGTAAAGGGATTTTAATTGCACAAGGAAACTGCCTTCTTCCCCAAGTTCTTCACCCTATATAAGACCATTCCAAGCACACAATTAGGAATCTTTTTACGCAATTTGGAGAGCAACAAAGCAATAACGAAGACGAAGAATTCGAAGACTCTAAGCATAGATTTATCGTTTATGACTTATTTTATTTGTGTTTTTGCTTTAATCATGATTAGCTAAATTACTTGTTTCTAGGATTTTATTTGGAACCCTATGTGGGATTTATGAACCCAATTCTATGATTTTATGCAAGTTTTAATTCCGGATTATTTCTTCTACTTGTTTTATTAAGTTCATGAAACTGGCCACTTTATGCGCTTTTATGTTATTGTTAATCGCATGAATCGGAAGATCGGGTTAATAATTAGAACTGTGGTAGAAGAGCCTTTGTGGTATTAACATAGGAATATAGTTAATCTCTTAGGTAGCCATTATTGAGATTTGTGCTTAATGCTTTGTTCTAGAATTAATTGCATAGGAATATAGTAATTGAATCTAGAGTATTAGAATTGTAATACACGCGGAAGCGGGTTATGATTATTTTAGCATCTCAGGTTAATAATCCGGGTTAATTGCTTGCATAATTGAAGGAATTGGGGGAATAATAATCACATAGGGGGAAGAATAAAATCCTAGGCTTGTCTACTTTGATTAATCTTCGTATTTTAAATTGCTTTCTTGTTTTTGCTTGTTTTTAATTTAGTTTAATTTAGTTAATTCTCTCTAAAAGTCGACTGTGTAGGGTGGGCTTGATAATAATTGCTAGAATTTAGCGTCTAGGATTAAGTAATTAAATATTCCCTGTGGGTTCGATATCCGGACTTAATTGTCCACTATATTACTTGTACGATACGTGCACTTGCGTGTAGGTTTTCGACCAACAAGAAGCTACCAGGCAACAAGTTTCTTCCCTGTCAATTCATCATCCACCCCATAATTGACACTGATCTCCCTCGTTGGTATGTGGCAAAATGGTATAGATGAAGACGGAATTCTTGAGCCTCCAGCTATGAAAATATATATATGAGATTGGTTAATGGTTCTTAATGCGGATCTACATTCATATGAATATGATTCAGTTTTGCTTCGTTGCTACCTTTTGTTTTCCTATCATCAAAGACTGAATTTGAGGTGTTAGAAACATTCTAATATTTTTCGAATATTTCTAACACCTCAAATTGGGTCTTGGGATAAAAAAGCTAATGATAGGAAAACAAAATATAGCAACGGGACGGACCAGTTCATATGAATGTTAATGCTCTTGTTATAAATCGGGTCATTTTTTCCTTTTTTGTTCCTTTTAGAAATATTCGACTTTTCGTTTTGTTGAATCCATATATGGACTGTACTTACATTAGCGTTTGTAGATTTTGTTCTACTATATATGTCTTATTCTTAAGAATTTGTTTTTCTAAGCGACGTAATGATCTTTATTTATTAAAGCCTTGTGGTCTTTCATTCAGTTAATTTTTCAAGAAACTTATAGCTAAGCTAATTCATCTACAGCTTAAACCTGGCTGGATAAACAAGATACAGAGCATAATTTCTTAAAATTTCAATTTGGTCCTCGATCTTTTGAATTATGTATAAGCAAGTCGAATTGTATTTCTGGGTATTGGTGGTTGGAGAAACTAGATGTAGAGCATGATTTCTGAAAATTGCAATTTGGTCCTAAACCTTTTGAATTCTGTATAAGTAAGTCAAATTGTATGCATAGCCTGAATTCTGCTGTGGGCTGTTGAGCAAAGGTGGCGGTGGAGCGGTGTTGGGCGGTTGGTGGTGGTGAAGGAGGCTGGTTTGCGGTGAAGAGGATGATGATTTTTTTCTTTTCTTAAATTAAATTTTGGAAAATTACAATTTAACCTCTTTTAGTTTCTGCAAATTTTCAGAAATTCAATTAGGCCCCTTAATTTTAAAACATACCTGTTAAAGGGTTGTGGCTTTTAGTTTTGCAGAAACCTCCCCAGGGTATTTTGTCTTTTCACAATCGGTCAACGGGAAAAGGTATATGGGTCGAGTGTGCTGACTAAAAATAAATTCAAGGGGGTATTTCCTATTTTTTTTATGACAGGGGGAAAACGGACGGTTGGGATTTTTATTGGGGGTAACAAATGCAATAACTCAAAGAGAGAATTATTATTATAATAAGGCTTTTACGTTTTTTTATTCAAAGTCTGTGAATAGCTACTGAAGCTCTTTCTTAGTGGAGTAAATTATAAGTTTATAACCACTTCCCTGAGATAAAAATGTAACTATAAAAAAAAATCATTTTCTTAGAAATTACATCTAACCCCCTGTATTTAGTAAATTAATTGCATTTAGTAAATTTTTTACATCCGCCCCAACAAAAGGGTTTTAATGTAAGATATTTACAATTAGGGGTGGACGTAATTATTGAAAAATATAATGGGGGGTTTTCATGAATAAAAAAAATAGACAAGAGGTTTTTTTAATAAGTCATCAATCAATACACAGTTCATAATTCAAACAACGGAGCAACAAAAATATATATCTTTAAATTTTTGATAAAAATGAGTTCTATGAGAGGATAATTTATATATTACAAAAAAGCTACATACATATGATTAAGGTTTCTTCCATTGCTACATTTTACATTTTTTGTCCCAATGGCAACGTAAACATTCTCGTACTTTCTATAAAAAAAAAAAAAAAAGTACTTGATTTTTTTTCTCCATTAGACTGATCAAATATTCTTTAACAACCCCGAGGCGATGTCCTTTTGGAAGCTTCTACAGAATGATGAGTAACGGGTGAATCTTCAAAATAGGGTGAAGAGTAAAGCAGCACGAACGTCACGTCATCTAAAAACGAATCTTCATAGAGCGCAAGATGTCATCTAAAAAGGAATCTTCACAGAGTGCAAGATGCGCAATGGTAGATGGACAAGGCGATGATAAAAAAAGATATTCAAGTTGATGTGATCTCAATCAATAATCGACTTAAGGCCATGAACTCGTTCAAGGCTATTCTTGTCGATTATTTAAAAGCTTCCATTAATCCATTTTGGAAAGAAAAAAAGATCACCAGAGATTTATACAAAGTAATAGTGAAGAAATCGGCCAACAAGGTCATCAAAAGCTTCGGAAAGAAACCCTTTCCAAAACCTTTTCACCTTACATAAATCGACCTATACATGAAATCTTCACATTCTAAGAGATCTGAAATTCAACAACAAAAAAAACATGAGAGTGAGTTCATAAACTTTGTTACTGATGAAACTGATTTCTTTCTCGATAAAAAATATTGATGCAATAAAAAAAAAAAGTCAACTTTGTCAGAAAATTGGTTTTACCGTACCCTTATGCCGCTGACAAGAATATTGTTCGATATGCTTCTCCTCCATCTGTATGTCAAAACCAAATAGAAAGAAAGAGAGTTCGTAAACTTCTTCCATAATATCTTTATACAGAGTTTTAAAAAATAGTGAATTTATAAACAATGTAATTAATGGGCAATGTTATAAGTTTGCGGCCCAATAAAAAGAAAAATGAGTTTCTAAACAATGTAATTAAGGAGCAAAGTTAATTACAAGTTGTTTGCGGCTGTAAATATAAAAAAGATAACTAGATTTAATATGTGTTTAATCGTGTATGTATATTCCAAACATGTTATTAGATCTGTATAAATGGACCAATTTATGTTTAAAAAAAAAAAACAGTTATTCAATACATTTTTCTATATATATATATATATACATATATAATTAATTAAGACTTTCAGAACCTTTAAGATCTTAATTCATCACCACAAATCAAACATGAAGAACAAAAAAAACATTTTAAATTAACTATCAAGAACAGAAATAAATTTAATCAAGAAAAAAGAAGATGGAAAAGAGAAACCATATATATATATATATATATATGATCGGAAGTGAAGAGAAGACCTCGGCGGCGGAGGTTCAGGCGGCGGCCGCAGGAGGTGGAGATCTTCAGACAAAGCTCTGTGAACCATTATTTTTGTGTCGGAATTTCAGACTTAGGATACAGAAGAGGTTTTCTCGGTCATTTATATATATAGAGGTTGAGTGACGTCAAAACCTAGGAAAGTAGGGCACCTGAACACAAGCCCACTGGGCTTTTGATTTTCTGTGTTCTAAAAATGTTTATTAAAATAAATATAGTATTTTCCTTTTGTATGTGAATTTTTATGAATTATCCTTATTATGCAAATTTAATTTATAATTTATAATTGAAATTTTTTTATTATAAAATCCAAATGCAAAATTAACAGAACGAAGGAAATGATACTTTGAGAGAAGACGCTTATACGAGATCTATCAACTAAATTTACAGAGCGGTCACCGTCAGATACATAAATGATTTGCTTCATTAAAATTTTAGTGACGTTTATATATACATGGGGCTACAAGAAAATATGCATGGCAAACTCGGAGCGAGAATATACGTCTGTACGGCTCGTGTCAATGGTTTTTTTTTTCTTTTTTTTCGAGCTCAAGAATCATAACAAATGCATGCAATAAATTCCCATAATAAATTATCATCTTAGCTTGATGAGCAATGACGCGACAAATTCAATTGAGTCCACGTCGGCTTAGCAAGAAATTAACTAATATTAATTGATTGGAGATAAGCGAATTTCGCGCTAATATAAATCCTACAAAATTGTTTGGACATGTCGTAGGAGTTAGAATCAGGGGTGAGGATTATAAAGAAGTTTTCGAATTCCTCCAGTTACGATCTTAATATTTCCAATCTCGAAATGAATGTTTTAGGGTTAATGTCACTTTGCCCCCCCAAACTATCATGTGTTTTGCACGTTACCCCTGAGCAAATTTTTCTTACAAAGTGTTACCTGTGTTGGAATAAATTGAATTAATGTGAATTCAATATTGGAATTAGTGGCAATTCAATATTGGAAGAAGTGGGCATTCATGTTAGAAGAAGTGGGCATTCATGTTGGAAGAAATGGAGGATTGAATAAATGTGAATTTGAAGCACTATTGTCTAGATGTATAGACAATTGTCTTTTGATTTTCCTAAGTATTAAATTAGAATTAAAAGAGTTGTTAGTGTATGAGTTATTTTGTAATTTATTAGTAGATTAATGTACTCCTCACTATAAATATGGAGTGCTAGAGATCATTGTAAGCAAGACAAGAAAAACAAAAAGAGAAGTAATTTTTCCATCCACAAAGCACTTGTATTTTACTTTCTCTACTCAAAAATATTATTTTTTCAAGTCTTCACAAAATCACTAAAATCCAAATTCGGGATTAATCATTTTTATCCTATCCTGGTGCCTACAAATTGGCATCAGAGCCATCTTAAAAATGTCCACCAACCTTGCTTCTCTAATACCTCGTTTCAATGGAGAAAAATTCGATTATTGGAGTAATCTTATGAAGCTTTGTCTTGAATCTCAAGACATTTGGAGCGTTGTTGAAGACGGTGTTCAGACTCCCGAAAATGAGGATCAATTGACGAATGCACAAAGGCAAACTTTGAGAACAGAAAGGCAAAAAGATCGAAAAGCTCTTTTCCAAATATATCAAGCCATCGAAATTCCCGTCTATGAAAGACTAACCAAGGCGAGTAGTTCCATGGAGGCATGGGAAATTCTACAAACAACCTATGCCGGGAAAAATGAAGTAAAGAAGGTTCGTTTACAATCTTTGAGGGCTGAATTCGAAAAATTGGAGATGAAAGAAAACGAAAAAATTGTTGAATATTTTACAAGAATCACCTCTCTTGTAAATCAAATGGCGACAAATGGCGAAGTCATGGAAACCCAAAGGGTTGTCGAAAAAATTATGCGAAGCTTGCCGGTGAAATTTGATCATGTTGTTATGGCTATCGAAGAGTCACAAGATCTCTCATCAATGGCGTTGGAGAGTCTACAAGGACGATTGGAGGCACACGAAGCAAGGATCCTTCAAAGAAATCCTCAAATTTCTTCTCCGGATCAAGCATTAAAATCCCGAGTTACATTCACGGGAGGCCGTGACTCGTTCCGTGGTCGTGGCCGAGGTCGTGGCCAAATAAGAGGAGGAAGAAACTCTTACAACAATTACCGTAGACAAGCCAAATCAAATGAAGATGCGAAAGAGGAGGAGAAATATTTTCCGAACAATTTTCAAAGAGGAAGAGGATCATATAAAGGTACAAGGCCTTACGTTGAGTGTCATTATTGTCATAAACCGGGACACAAAATCAATGATTGTTGGGAAAAATATCCAGAAAAAAAGGCAAGAAGTTGGTTATTTGCATGAAAATAAAGTCGAAAATATGGAGACTTTATTGATTGCATCTAACGGTAGCTTTGAAAATACTTGGTATTTGGATAGTGGTGCGAGCAAGCACATGACGGGGAATAAAAAATTATTCTCAAATCTCGTCGAAGCTAGCCATGGGACAGTTACGCTTGGAGATGGATACACCTACGCATTAGAAGGTGTTGGAGAAATTGTCTTCAAAACAAAATCCGGAAAAGTCGAAACAATGTCCGAGGTTTACTATGTACCTAACTTGGCAAGTAATTTGCTAAGTGTTGGTCACTTGATGAGGAAAGGTTTCAACATGTTTTTCGACGACTTCACTTGCGTTTTGAAAAAGAAGGATCAACACATTGCAAATATCGGTATGACCGGAAATAATATTTTTCCGATCAAACTTGATAATTTTGAAGCCTCTTGCAATTTAACCGTGAAGGACGATGTTTCAAAGTTGTGGCATGACCGGTTCGGGCATCTTAATTTCCAAAGTTTGAAGGAGTTATCAAATAAGGAAATTGTTCAAGGATTGCCGAACATTAAAGCCATGGACAAAATTTGTGAAGAATGCCAATTGGGGAAGCAACACCGAGAGCCATTTCCTTCCAAATCAAATTGGAAATCACAATCACCATTGGAGCTCATTCATAGTGACCTTTGTGGACCATTTCAAGTTCCCTCTCTCGGTGGTAATCGGTATTTCTTGTTATTTATTGATGATTTTACAAGAAAAGTTTGGGCTTATTTTGTGAAAGAAAAATCCGAAACTCTTTCATGCTTCAAAGATTTTAAAATCCAAGTTGAGAAATTTTCCGGTTTCAAAATAAAAAATTTGAGGAGTGATCGTGGTGGAGAATATTTATCTTCTTTATTTGAAGAATTTTGTCGAATCCATGGGATTAGACATGAATTGACGGCCCGGTATACACCGCAAAAAAATGGCGTGGCGGAGCGAAAGAATCGAACAATCATGGATATGGTTCGGTGTATGTTGAAAAAGAAGAATATTCCATCGGAGTTTTGGGCTGAAGCGGTCGCTTGTGCCGTTTATTTGATCAACCGATCACCGACGAAGAGCTTGGAGAATTCTACTCCAAATGAGGTGTGGTATGGTAAGAAGCCAAATGTTAGTCATCTTAAAACATTTGGTTGTCTTGCAAATTCACATATTCCAAATGCTATGAGGACCAAACTCGACGATAAAGCCGAAAAATGCATTTTCATTGGGTATAGTGAGAGGTCAAAAGCTTACAAGCTTTACAATCCTCAAACGAAAAAAATTGTGATAAGTCGGGATGTTCGTTTTGATGAAAAATCCTCTTATGATTTTTTCAAAAAATTCAGAATCATTAACTTGGCCGACCCTTGGAGACGAAGAAGGCTATTCTCAAGTAATGCAACCAAATGATGGTGAAAATGAATCTCCACAAAATTCACCATCACCCCCGCCAAGAAAAACGAGGAGTTTGAGAGAACTCTATGATGAAACGGAGGAGGTGAATGCAACAAATTATATTTTCTTTGCATTCTTTACCGGGGAGGATCCAATCTCTTTTGAAGAAGCCTCAAAAGAAGAAAAGTGGAATCAAGCGATGAAAGAAGAGATCAAGGCGATTGAAAAAAATGAAACTTGGGAGCTCACACCTTTACCTTCACACAAATCTCCTTTTGGTGTGAAATGGGTGTTCAAAACAAAAACCAATCTTGATGGTTCCATCAATAAATACAAGGCGAGGCTTGTTGCAAAAGGATACAAGCAAAAAGAAGGAGAAGACTTCAATGAGGTATTTGCTCCCGTTTCAAGACTTGATACAATTCACTTAATTATCTCTCTTGCGGAAATTTTCATGAAGCCATTTTGGAGGTCCCGTTTTTTCGAAAAATTTTGAAGGTTTGGGAATCAAAAGCAAATTCAATTTACGGGAGGCAATGTTGGAATAAATTGAATTAATGTGAATTCAATATTGGAATTAGTGGCAATTCAATATTGGAAGAAGTGGGCATTCATGTTAGAAGAAGTGGGCATTCATGTTGGAAGAAATGGAGGATTGAATAAATGTGAATTTGAAGCACTATTGTCTAGATGTATAGACAATTGTCTTTTGATTTTCCTAAGTATTAAATTAGAATTAAAAGAGTTGTTAGTGTATGAGTTATTTTGTAATTTATTAGTAGATTAATGTACTCCTCACTATAAATATGGAGTGCTAGAGATCATTGTAAGCAAGACAAGAAAAACAAAAAGAGAAGTAATTTTTCCATCCACAAAACACTTGTATTTTACTTTCTCTACTCAAAAATATTATTTTTTCAAGTCTTCACAAAATCACTAAAATCCAAATTCGGGATTAATCATTTTTATCCTATCCTGGTGCCTACAACCTGAACAAGTTAAATTATTGCAAGGTGCCGTAAATTTTCCATTTTCGTTCGTGTCTCACTGGAATCGTCTGCACGTCCGTCACATGTGAGTTTTTGAGGGTACAAACGTCCATTCACTTAAAATACAACCCTACCAGCAGCTGTACTATGTTTGCATTTTTTCTTCCATCATTTCACACTTCACCACCTCTTCCTTTTGCATTTTACACTTCTCTCCCGCTGAATTTCCAGCGGATCTCCGTTGCGTATTTGCCCCATGACCGCCGCATCACCCCTCAGTAACGAATATTAAAGGTGGGGCAGCGGTGGTGGGGCTCGCTGCCGCAAATTGCAGACCTGAAA